CAGATAGCTAGGTTTTATATCATAGGGATAAATAAACTAAAGATGCTAATATGGGCATATACTTAGACTTTTGTGTTTATTTGCCTAGGGAAGCTGTGAATGCTCCATCCCTGGCAGTGTTCAAGTCCAGGTTGGACAGAGCCTTGGGTGAGATGGCTTAGTGTGAGGTGTCCCTGACCATGGCAGGGGGGTTGGAACTAGATGATCTTAAGGTCCTTGCCAACCTGAACTATTCTATGATTCTATGATTCTATGATACTTGATTATCAGGTAGTCCTACTAAGACTATTCATTCCCATTTTAAAGGCCTCTTTCATTGCAGACTTGGTTATAGGACTGATGTAATTGTTTTCAATAATTATATTCTTATAAACAAACATTCACATTTGTAAGTGTAAAATTGATTTATATGGGTATATTGATGTATTTTTCTTTATATGTCTACAGTAGAATTGTTCTGGATATAATTCCAAATATGAATCAGTTTATATAAAATACTATCACTCATATAAAAAATTGTCTAAACTTCTTAATAGAATATTACTTTCAATGATGATAACTAAAACCATTGTGAATCAATACAATGTATGTATTATGAAAAGTAATATATTATATAATGATATTTACAGAGTTGTGAAAATATTCAAAAGGGCACTGTCTTAAAAATATTCTGAGTATATATAAACAAGTTCAGATTGTTTAAAATCTAGAATTTTCCAGTATCCAAGTTACCTGAAAAACAGTGACACAGGATTCAGATAAACCAAGAAAAATGGTACCAAGTCACAGGGAGGGGGGCACCACAAGTAAAGCAACCAAGCAAACATCAAAACCAAATAAGCACCATCAAAAAACAGCCAACCAAATGCCAAAACCCCCACACATTTAAGTATCCCTAAAAGCTTTGGAAGACACTTCAGTAAATGGTATACAGAGAGGCTAAAGCTTTTTCCAGATCAGAAGTATTTTCCTGAGCTTGGAATGCATTATTCTATGAAGTCATACAGCATAGTATTTGCTACAGTTTGAGAGGATTAGTTAATTGAAATGGTCATGCTGGATTAAGTGGATTAAGGACATTTTCTTTCTTGACACTAAATGCTAAATTAATTCAGTCTAATGATGGTTACATCATGGGAACATCAGCTTCCTGATGTTCTCCTTTCTTTGAGTGAAATGTCTTCATGATGTTCATAACTTAACTTACCTTCGATACGGCTACCTGTAGTAGGTTTCAATGAAAAGTACTAGACATTACATTGTTTTGAAGAACAAACTATAGCAGGAAAGCAAATTCTGTGAGATTGCTGTAAAAGAATTTTTACTTGTGTGAATGACCAGCTTAGTGGAAAAGAAAATTTTTAGACAATTCATTATTGCAGTGTCTTCCTACAAACTCACTAATTCATGAGAAAGATATGAAAGAACTGACAAAATTTGAGTCTTAGAAAAGGCGTACTAATAAAAAATTCAGTAAATCAATAAGATCTCCACTGATAGTATATTACAATGTGCTTCTTGCACTGTTAGATTTTAGATAAAATATCTAAATTAATTTCCTGTATCCTAAAAGTAACTTGGTTTTGGGCATGACTTTTTGGTAAGTGTGCTAAAATATTAGGGGAGAGATTGGTGAATGTTGTGTTCTAAATGGTGTATGCAGTAAATAATTCTAAAAACAATAAAAAAATTGGACCATAGAATCTATTGTAAAGAATGTATTCCAGATTTAAAATTTGCTATTGTTTTCTGAAACAGTGTAAATAAATCTTATTTTAAATATTAAATCTTATTTTAAATAAATAAATCTTATTTTAAATTTTAAATCTTATTTTTCTACTTCAGGAAAAGAATAATCACATTTGTAATGGAGTACAAAAAAAGCAGCCAGTTAGTATATATACTATTTCATTCAACAGAGAGGAAAAGCAACTCCTGAAATAATTTTCTGAAACATGGTTTGATAACCTTACATGTCAAACCACGCTTTTAATCTAAACTAAGTTCCTTTATAACATAAGCCAAAAAGTTTTGATCATTGATTGGTGCAATAAAGAAATTGCTTTTCCTGGGTAGATTGACATTCTTTGTCATTAACAACTAACTGGCCACACTGCAAAATGACAAGTGGCATTAGGGATTTGCAAGTAGTGTGGTTTAATGCTGACCTACCTATGGGGGAAGACAGCAATTTCTCCTATACTTCAAAAATTTTAAGTCTTCCCAATTATAATCATTCTGTCAAGTCAATTCCCAAATTCCTCTGTTCCCCTTTCTTGGCTTTCAAATCTTTGGGTTGTCACTGGCTTCCAAGCATGTGACAGATGCATGATCTTGTTTTTACCTCTGTGTGCTAGTGCAATTTTTAACTTCACCTCCTTTTTTTTCGGAAGCAGGAGCAGGGGGGGAGGGCAAGTATTTTTTTCCTAGTACCTTATAGTATTAACTGCACTCTTTATCTGAGAGCTATCTTGCATAGCTAGACCTGAATGTGTGTTCTTGTTCTTAGTTTTGCAGATACATAATAATGTGTCAATTTTGTAGATACATTATTATGGATCTCCAAAACATGGGGGAGGAGTTGGTAAACATGATTCAATCTGGGTGACTGAGGAACAGGGATACTGCAAAAGGTAATCTAGTTCTTAATATTCCTGTAAATTAGGGGGCTTTTTTAGCATTTCCTGCAGTGTTACTGTCTTTAACTGCTAACAAATTTGTGTCTTTCAAATATTTCAACATATACATCTGAAGAAAGTTGGGGCTTTTTTTGTTTGGTTGGTTGGTTTTTGTGGTTTGTTTTGTTTGTTTGGTCTTTTGTTTTTTTCATTTGTTTGTTTTAATTGCTAAGCACCTGTGCTCTTCCAAATATCCCTAATCAAGCAATTCTAACCAAATGCCCCTTCTTCCAGAGTGGCTGGAAGAAATTAAAGGTATGGCTGTCCAGTGCCATACCTTTTAAGCAGATTGCCTAGCTACTCTTAAAATTAATAAAATGATAAAAGGTTATGCACCTACAGCTATGTATTTGACAGAGTGTTTTCTAGTTCTGCAAATACAATGTATTTAACAAGTACAATATTTGTTAAAATGGGAACAAGTAGTGATGGGACAAGGGGTAACGGGTTAAAACTTAAACAGGAGAAGTTTAGATTGGATATAAGGAGGAAATTCTTTCCTTTTAGGGTAGTGAGGCACTGGAATAGGTTGTCCAGGGAGGCTGTGAATGTTCCATCCCTGGCAGTGCTCAAGACCAGGTTGGATGAGGCCTTGGGTGATATGGTTTAGTGCAAGATGTCCCTGCCCATGGCAGGGGGGTTGGAACTTGATGATCTTAAGGTCCTTTCCAACCCTAATTATTCTATGATTCTATACCTTTTTTTCTGACTTCCTGATTATTTTGTAATGTTACAGGAAATATTCTTCATTCATTCAGCTGGTATCAGCTGGAAATCTAAGCACATTAATGAGTCATTAAAGGCATTGCAATAACTTGTAGCAGGTGCGCCATTAAAATCAGTAATGGAAATTATTTATGGACCTCTAGATAGGGATGTATGGGTAATTTTAATAATACTGTCACATTTGATACGCTAAATATGTAAAATATCTGGATCTGGTCATCTAAGAAAGATGTTAAAGGGTGAAGAGAACAAACAAATTTTTTACTATGTGTGTCAGACAATTTCAAAACTTCAGAGCTCTTATTTTCAAAGTGAAGATACATGGCCTTATATTTATATCAATGGATATGTCTACAGAGTTAAACAAGCTTGAGCATTCATCCCCTAATCATCCCCATTGATTGAACATTAACTAATACCTAATTTCTTAGCTAACCATCCCTTCCCAACATAGTATGGTGTAAGCATAAAAATGTAATTTACAGGCAAATAGGTATGGTATGATAGAAAGGGCCTTGAAAATGGGGGCCCGGGATGCAAGGTAGAAGGATACTGGTATGGGACAATAATACAAAGGGCACAGGTTTAAGCTGGAGACCCTGGGACTATAAACAATTCATCAAAAAAAAAAAAGCAAAAACCCACAAACATGCAACATATGTAGAAAAGTGCAGCAAATTCAGGACCAGAGGACCCTGAGGAGCAGTGGGATGGTGAGCATGCCACCAGAAGAAACAACAGATGCAAGAAAGTATGTTTATAATAATTTAAACTTTATTATTATAATGAAATTTCTTCTGAAATGTATTCTTTTTTCCTTTTTTGTTTCTTTCCTCTATAATAATTAAACCTGGACAAACAAGTTATTGATTAAACTGTTAAGATTTCAGTTGAATTAAAACTAAATTCTTCAAACATACTTATGTATTTCACCCAAAACAAGGTTTTGAGTAGCCACTCCATGGATTTCTTCATGAGGTCATGTACATTGCCATAATTGCTTTGAGTATCCAAAAGCAAGAAACTCCTCTTAATTCACTATTAAAAAATAATAAGACAATGGGTATATGTAGATATTTTAAAATACCCAAATATCAAAATCTCATATTAAGTCCCTCAAAGAGGCAACATATTATTACATAATCCTTCTCAGCCTTGTGCTACCAATAACCCGTAAATAGAACTGTTGTAAATATTTTAATGAAATATTTTTCCAGAATAAAGCACAATTTTGCTAAATTAAATGTTTCCATAAAAAAAAAAAAAGATTCTTATGATTATGTGATATATGAACATTGAAGTAATAATGATTCTGACAACAGTATATCCAATTTTGTTTGAGGATAAAACCCCCACTCAAAACATCCTTATTCGTATTTGTCTTATGCATTTTATATTCATCCAATGTAATATTTACTATGTCCAATTAATGCTCTATAGTAAAATTTTCTGGTATCAACTACATAAATATTAAAATGTGTGGAAAGTAAATGTTTTTCTATTTTCCAAAGTATTCACACAGTGATTTATTTAGCTGTACAATTATTTTTTCAAATTCAGTTCAGGAAAATTCAAAAAGGTCAGAACATCCTTACAGAACATACCTGGCAGGGGAGACACCATGATCAAGCAGGTGGTTTTCCCAGGGAGAGGCTCATCCCTTCCACTCCGGGTGTACTGACCCCTGTGATTTCCCCAAATGCGGGAAACTCAACTGCATAATTTGTGGTGGGGGGGGGACTGCAATTTATTTTTTTTTTTTCTTGGGTGACATGGTTTAGTGTGAAGTGTCCCTGCCCATGGAAGGGGGGTTGGAACTAGATGATCTTAAGGTCCTTTCCAACCCTAACTATTCTATGATTCTATGATTCTATCCCAGTGAATAAAATCATAGCTGATCCTTGCTATCATAAAGTGGTAAATAACTCACAATGATGTTGTGAATGATATATTGATAGTGAACAGTGAGTGAAAATATATGTATTGTCATATCTATATTTCTCTACCCTTAGTTATATTTTAACAGAAAATTCAAATGAAATTGCTTTTATTAAACTTTTTTTTTTTTTTAAACATGATTGCTATGATGAGTCAGAAATCCATGAGGATAATGTGTCCATAGATTCAGTGAAAGTTCCTTAACAGTATGGCTCAGTACAGGAAAGTAGCTTAACTGTTTTGATTCACTCCCTTTCTGTTTCTCCAGTTTAGCAAAATCAACATTTTAGTAATTTCATTACATATTCCTACCCTATAATAGAGATAGGTTTAAATCTGTGGAAGAGATTAAAAAGAAGTCAATGCATGATTTACCTTTGAAGTTTTAGGGGTTTTGAACATATAAGGAATTTATTTACATTTATCATTTTGCAGATTCAAAATGCAGTAAAAATTGAATAGTTGACCTTCCTGACTATAGAGATACAGATACAGTATTCTTATACAATGGAAATTTTCTAGCATAACCTCTCTGATTTTCTATGAATCATTCTTATTTGCTTTATGCTCAGTAACATGTATCTTAATGAGTAGTACTCTCCACAGATTCACAGCCTGTAAAAAATCAAGCTGTAAACATTCAAGATAATCACAGCATTTTTTTAGCAGACAGAATACATTTTTTTGTGGACTGTTTTCAAATTCCAAAATCGTGATATGTATTTTATCCATGTAATCCAAATAATCCAGAACAAGGGTATAGTAAGGCATGTGCTACCTATGCTATCCTTTTTTAAGAACACAAACTTCTGCAAATAAAAATCACAACCAGAATTGCCATACAGAAGTACATTGGTTTCAGAAAATTACCATGTCATCTTTTCTTTGTCTGAATCATAAAGAAGAGAAGAATTTATGTTTGGAAGCACTAGTCAAAGTATTTTCTATTTACAAGTGAATATTTGGCAATAAACTGTTAATGAAACCTGGCAATAAAAGGTGGATAAATGTTATGGAGTGCTGAAGCCTCCTATAGAGTGTGTTAAATGATATTGTGGCAGTTCATGAGCTAACACTAGATATACTACTACAGAAAAAGCTTGCAGCATTTCTGGATGATAGCAAAGTCCATCATAAAATGTACTGAATATTTTGCAGACTTTTCACCCATGGAAACTCAGGGTTACTCAGATCTGAAGAAGGTTGTATAGTTAGCATGCTAACAGCTGGGCCTACCCTATTCATCTGCAAAGTACTTTCCACGACCATTTCAAATTAGCAAAGGCTCTAGCATGGTCTGTTATGTCCAGTTGTTGGCTTGGAAGCTATTGCTTTGCACTAACACAAAATGAATCCTATAAGCTTCAAAGGCATATTAGACACAACAAATGTATAAGTTGGCAGGAGTGGTTCACATCGGATGGTTCATGTTGCATAGTATTTAGATCCTGTCTAAAATTCCTGAGCTTTGAAACTGAATCAGTTGAAAAATATTTGTGGGTTGGTTTTTTTTTTCAGTTTGGGTTAGGTTGGTTTGTTTCTGGTTTGCACATTTTAGAATAAAATTATACAGATATTAACATCAAACAATTGTTCAGATGCGATGGAGTTTTAATTTTTTTTCTGAAATATTTCAGATTTTTTCCTACTCCTGATTAAAAAGAAAAAGAGAAAAAAGTTGTATTTCTTGCATTTTTTTTAGATTCATAGGGCCGTGAGAAGAAAGATGCATATTTCCCTCTTCATTTTGAAAGACTTTTATGGTGGAACAATTTCCACAAATGTTTGATGTCTCAACTTGACCTCTCTTGTCAGAAAGAGAACATTATAGAGTGTGACTTGTCACACTTGTAATAGATATTTAAATATGAATTTGACATTGCACTCTATTCCAGTTTCTTGTTTTTAAAATAAGACTAAAAACACTTACTAGCTTCAAAGAATGCATCAAATATAAATCAGCAGTTTCTTGACTGATTAGATATTGCACCTTATGCCCCTGAGGAACAGTCCTTCATTGCGAATTCTTTCCTACTGATTAACCAGTTTAAAAATCTGTGACAAGACTTAACCTTTTATCTTCTAGTTATCCCTTAAGTCTAATGAGCTTTTGTGTAGCACATTACTAGAAAAAAACCTGAAGGCATAAATTACATCAATTAGGGTAACATTCATTTATTGTTTATGAATTTTTCAGTAACCTTTAGAGGTTAAGAAAGCATAATTTTCACTTGTATGAATTTGTGACTATAACGTGATACTGAGTCAGATATTCTATTAATCTCAATTTAATTACACTCTAAATCAATTTCGTACCAGCACTGAGATGAAGTACCCAGGTCTGTAATTCCCCAGATGTTTCTTCTAAATAATTGAAGAAAAAAGAAGAATACCAATCTAAAAACCTTCACTATGGGTAAATTCACACTGTTTTTCTGTAACAGCAATAACAAGAAAACTCACAAATCTCAGACATATTGCCTTTTTCTGTCATAGAATCATAGAATGGTTTGGGTTGGAAGGGGCTTAAAGATCATCTAGTTCTAACCCCTCTATTGTGGGCAGGTACAGCTCCCAGTACACCAGGTTGCTCAAAGACCCATCCAACCTTCCTTGCTTGTCCCTTCTGAACACACTCCAATCATGTGATTCATCCCACCAAGTTTCTGTGATAGGTATCAGGTCATAGTTTTTCATCTGGATAGTAACTACCAGATCCTCCTGTTTGATTCTTTACCATTTCGGTTCAGGCACTTCAGCTTGGCTATCAGCCACATCTCCATTTTAGAGAAGCTCACCCTCATTCCATTGAAATTAGCTATCATATTGTTATTTTCTGATATTTAATATATCCTAAGTTATAACTTTTTTTCTCTGGTTCAGAGCTCCTACCTAAAAGTTATACCTATATAAACACTCAGAATTATTATGCAGTCAAAATATTACAGAAATAATTTTCTGCTTTTTTTTTTTCATAGAAAAAAGTATTTCCTGAAAATGTTTCCAGCTAATGTGTAGGCCAACCAGCACCTTCATTTTTAAAAAGTCACACTTTCAGTACAGCAAACTCAAATAAAATCAGAGTTCATTCACCAGTCAAGTTCATAAAAGGCATAAAATGTTTTGAGCCCTTTAGCAAGTAACTTCATCTGCAAGTCAAAAGGCAGATCTGATATACTAACTTCCATAACTTTTGCTTCTCTAAGAAACAGTTTAGAACTATTAAACCCATATGTACTTCTTAGAAATACTGTATTAAGTACCTCAAAAGGTGGCTTAAAGCTGCAAGATCAATTAAAAAAAATGTATTTTATTTCATATATTTGTCTATTCTGCTTGTTTGTGTTTTAATTACAGCAATGTAACCCAGTCACCACCCAGTGATGAACACAGTAACCAATTCCTTACAGTTCAGTATCATCAAGTTTTAGTTTAGGTTCAGTTCAGCATGTTAAATCTCTGGCCTAGAAGAATACCATAACCTTAGCTATTTACTGGAAAGAATGGTTACACCTCCAAAAATGGAGGGGGAAAAATTGCTTCAGAGACTCAGCCTATGTTTAATATTTGAATTCCATCAAGCATGCTTCCTGGAGAAATGCCATTCAGGATTTAATTTGCTTTAAAGACTTAAGGCGTAGGGCCAAACTATGTACTGAGGGCCAATTCATGTACATCCAGGACTCCTAAATATCCATTCAATTGCATTACTCTCCCACTTCCTGGAATAGTTTAATCTTTTTTGTAAGTGAAATGATGAAAGAGGTGCTGTTGCACAGAGAAGCACATATGAGGGCCAGGATGAACAAGGTTTGGATATAGGGATATGAAGAAGACCACATTTAAACAACATCATCTGAGCAGTTGATAAGAAGAACTGAAACAGATTCAGACAGCATCAGAAAAAAGAGTTAAAAATGCATTTATAATTTAGACTTATATACGTAATTTTTAGTATTCAATCATTATACCACTAGTAAGAATATGTACTAAAGGGCATTGAGTACCCTCAGTGTCTCTTTAAGAATAAATAGAAGTGTCCCAAACGTGTCAGCTTTTCAGGGTATGAGACTGTCCTAATACAACATAGGTAAAATAAAAATGGTAGTAAGCCAACAAGAATTCCTTTAAAAACGTTACTTTGTCTCAGCCTTTTCTACCTCATAGATTAAAGGGGAATGCTAAATGTATGCAAACAGTAGCTGGTGACATAGATGGATACCTAAGGGCAGGGAAGCAAACAATACCTATCTAAACCATACAGAAATCAAGCATCCTATCTGTTAGGATGCCCTTACCCCAGAAATCAGACCTGCTGTTACACAAAAGGAATTTCTAACATTGAGGCTGGAACAGCTTTTCATCAATAAGGTTCAGCTTGTTTTCTTTACATCCTGTATAGCAGAGGCTCCCTAAATCTACAATATTTCCCTAACGTCTTGTTTACATGAGAGGTTAGTTACAGTCATTGACTCCAGTGGCCATATTCACAAATTTACAAATATTCAGTACTCATTAGTATATCTTCCCCGCTCTGGAGATAAGTTCTAAATGTGGCTCTCAAACTGGTTCTCTCAGATAAATTAATCCCATCCCATGACTATTCTAGCTTCCAGCATTCTATAATTTTATTATGTTTCCTTTTGTTGGGAAAGGGGAATTAGTTAATTTTTCAAGCCTTCCTAATTAAGAGCATAAAATTTTAAACATTATTGCCAGCATTCAAATAACAGGCACAAACAATTATTAAATGGCTGTTGTGGTCATTTTTACAAGAATTACTGTGTGCCTGACATGTATTTAGGAGACTTAACTCTTGATG